GGATTGTCGTGAAGCTTTGCCGAGCATGTGCGCTCCGCGAGGCTTTCGACGAGCTGCACCAAGTTCTTTCCCTTTCCCAGATCCTCCACCACATCGTTCAGGGGCGGCAAGTGGCGCTTCTGCAGCCGCTGATTCACCCAGCGCGTGAAGATCTACATGATTTTGTGGGCATGTGTGTTTGCGTGTGTGTATGTGTTTGCGTGCGTGTGTGCAATGCGCATGCCGTAACGTATGTGTGCGTGCGTGTGCACATGTAGTGTGCGTGCGGCGGTCAGTATGTTGCAGCCAAAACGCGCGCACGCATCCGGATGTCCACGGGTCCACTGGCAGGACACGCAGGACCACCAACAACACGCGGCAAGAAACAGGCACACTGCACAACCAAAACTCGCGTGCCATGCTACACTTGCCACGATCGCGTGTGCGTCCAATAACAAGCACCATCAAGCACACACACACAAGTTACAGGCACTCTAGTTCACTGCATGCACTGCGTTTCGACGCCACCCACTGCATCAGTCGCCTGCCTTTCATCATCAACACACCTTGCGCTGCAGGCGAATCCAGTCCGCCATCTTTCGCACTCTGCTGTGGCTTGGCTTTGTTTTGTTGTTGCTTTGTTGTTTGGGGTGCGCAAAACACAGCCAACAGTTAAATGTCCATCAAATCTTGAACAGCACAGGAAAAAAAAACACACAGGTGCCTGCCTGCAAGCAACTTCTTTGCTGTGTTCTGGCTGGTGTGTTGGTCGCAGTGCATCGGTGCTTCACAACGCACACGCCACCATCTCCAATCCTTCGACCCTCCCTTCTATTCTCCCTTCTTTGGTTCCCTGCCTCCCTCTTCATCCTTCCCCCCACTTCTCTCTACTAGACAGCGACCGAGTCAAACATGTCGTGGCTGGAGGTGCCGTTGAGATACGCCAGGAGTTCCTCCATGGTGTGCGTGATGGGAGAGCCGTCCTCACTGCGCTCAAATTCAAGCACCTCGCCATCTTCTCCTTCTCCTCCTTGGTCTCCGCTGTGGTTGCTTGCAAGCACGCTGCTGCCTGTGTGTGAGGGCTGGCCGTGACGGCGAGACGACCGCTGTCTTCGGGCTGCTGATGGGCTCGCTCGAGAGCGCCGGTCGTCTGGAGGGCCACACAAGTCATGTCAACACACACACACACACACACACACACACACACACACACACACACACACACACACACACACACACACACACACACACACACACAGTGTCGTGAGTGTGGGTGTAGATTGACAGTCAATGGTCCAACATTTCGAGTTGGGTGGAGTCCCACAGGGCTCCAGCACCAGAGACAAACACAACAACGGGGTTCGTGCATATGCCAGCACCAACGACATGGGCACGGGCGCTTGAAACCTACGCTGGGCGGCGGCGCGCTTGCGGCTTGCGTACTCGGCGCCAATGATCATGTCGTCCCAGACAGATATCAGCAAAGGGACCTTGTACCCTTGCACCCTAAAACCCCAGAGAAACAACATCGAGCCATGAAATCAGTGCTGACAGCGTCGCAAATGAACGGGCGAGCGGGGGTGCCACATCACAACAAGCAACGACCCAGACCCGGAGCAGACAAGATCGAGACCAAAGGAGGCAAAAGAACACAGGCACAGCAGTTTCAACCAATGAACGGGGAAGGAGCGGCTTGTTTGTTGCTGCTACTCACTGGGAGACGTAAGTGCGATACGCGCTCTCGTGTGCCTTTGCAGCAATCTTGGCGCAGGACCACATGCTCGGTGTCCATTCAGAGGCATGCACATCGTCGGCCTCTGTGGGTATTGAGCAGAGTGATGCGAAATACAGGAAGACGAACAACGCCAATCGAGGTGGGCGAGTGTGATGGTGCCCGTGACGGTGACGGCATGACGAACATCAAATCGAATGGAGAGACGCAACAGAGACAAACAAGCCGTGCCGCAGTTGTACGAAGAGCCTTCAAGTCAGAGAACAACCCACCTGATGTGTTGGCGACGTAGTCATGAAGGATGTCAAGGCGCCCAAGAAGAACCAACACACCAAACATTTCAAACGCCTGACACAGCACCAGAATCACGATGCTCACAATGTACCACGCCTGCGCAAGTCAGAGGGGAATATAAGATTGTGTGTGTGTGTGTGTGTGTGTGTGTGTGTGTGTGTGTGTGTGTGTGTGTGTGTGTGTGTGTGCATGCGTGCGCTTCGAGTGTTAGCTTCCACCAGTGCAAAGGCACCGTGCAAACACTCCATGCCCTTGCAATGGCCAACCTGGAAAAAGGGCTCAAAGGAATCAAAGTCGATGATGAAGAGAACCAAGCTGTGTACCTGCACACCGACAATGCAGTGTTAACGTGAATGAAGCATTCGTGGCAACCGATGGGAACTTGATGTCGCTCAAGTGCCACGCTTCATATGGCTTCAACGCATGCACACAATCGTCATCAGAACATCACACCGTCACACTCACAAAGGCGTAGACTTTGGAGATGAAGAAGAAGACCAGCCCCGCAGAGAAGGCGTCGCGAAGGGTGCGAGTACGGCAGCCGGTCAAGTAAATGATGTACGCAATGCCGAGGACGAGATCGAAAGACTCACCCCACAGCTGCACGCCAAAGATGCGCAGGACTGCAGCTTTGCAGTTTTCCTCTCCTGGTCCAGTCTGCACACGGCGCACCACAACACACCGAAAGTACATGCCAAGCACGCTCACGTGATGCGAGCAAAAACACCGAATGAACGATCAAGTTGCTCGTTCGCATGTGCCACACGACACCTTCCCCCAAAGAACAGATTGATGAAACAGGTATCACAGAGAATGCCATGCGCACCGAGCAGAAGCGATGGCGCAGGCCGCCGTCCAGGAACATGGCCGGTGCCTGCAGGCAAGCAAAACACGTGGAAACAAAGAAGGCGGCGGTCAACGGAACGACAGCATGTCACAAACTTTCAAGGGCAAGCTTGCATAATTCCACGTACGCAACAAGGAAGTATTGACAGTCAGACACATGGGCATATGGACACATGGAGAAATGTACACATGCACACATGGACTTTGTGCAGTAGAATTCGACACACACACATACACACACGCACACGCACACACGCACACGCACACATACACGCATGCACACACATTTGTACACACACGCACACACACACACACGCACGCACACGCACACATACACATACACGCACGCACCGTCATGAGGCAGACGTGATGCAGCACTGCGGCCCAAGCCCAGTTGTGGCGCTGGTGCAAATCAAGAATGCTCAAGCCAACGTACAGCACAAGCACAATCGGCGTCACCTGTGTGACACAGGTATCAAGTCAGATAAGTGAGCGAGATGATATTGTGAAAAGTGAGAGCATTAGGGTGTATGTGGTTGTCTGGCTGCACGGCACAGATAGCACACCGCTTGAGCATGCACGCGCTGCCTCGGTGATGTCTCCCTATCACCTGCCTGCTCTTCGTTGCCGCTTCATTTCACCCTCACCCCCCGCCCCTCTTCTCCTTTCTTCCCTTCCCTCAACTTCCAGACTTCCCTTCCCTCCACTTCACTCCACTCCCTTTCTCCTTCTCTTCCTCTTGACATCACTTGCAAGTTGTCGCTGACAAACCTGTGCAAACCATGCCGTGTCGTAGTCTCGACCATAGTCACGGATCCACAGCACGTCAAATGCCCACACAAACACGAAAAAGTCCGCACATGTCTGGAAAGAAATAGCAATGAAAACGCAAGCAAGGGACACACAGGGGCACCCAGGTCAGCAAGACCAACACAGCTGCATGTGCATTAAGAGTGTTTCGAAGCGTGCGCAACAGCAACCAGCAACAGCAACGGAGGTGGCGTTGAAGAATGGCTTTGATCTTGCCTGCAAGCACCCAAGACATGCACGTACCGCGACGAAGATCTTGCTGAACGCCGACTGAAGATGGATGGGAAGGCGGTTGAATGCGCGACTGTACAGGGCAGTGCCTGCACGCACAAAGCTCTTGGCTGGGCACGCGCACAAACACATGCGTGAGAGAACGTGGGTGGTGGTCGGAGCAACAGCAGAGGCAGCCACGGCAGCACAAGCGTCCACGATAACAGCAACAGTCGCAGCCGCAGCATGCACAGCAACGCACCAAGATGTAGGATGACGGCCACAAGTCCCAGCAGGGGGAGCGAGTGCACTGCCACAAAGTCAAAGGCTGCTTCGTTGGCGTTGTGGAAAGGCCGCTGCACCGATATGACACGCAAGCCAAACCCAGGGGCAAAATGAACACCCAAGTACTCAAAGTGCGTGGGTCAATGTGCGAGGGATTCAAAAGCAAGAAGTACTCGAGCTATGCTGCTGTGATGACGTTCTTACGTAGGAGAGGGTGGCCACGTAGCTGATGAGGATGATGGCGAACATGGCTCCAACAGACCAGCCAACAGCTCGGTGCAACTGTGTGTCTGAGAACAAGCAACAAACGACGAGCAACACAAAAAAAAAAAAAAGCAAACACGAAGGGGGGTGGATGATGCGGCAGCGGTCAACACATGACACTTGTCACGAACACTGACGTACGCACACACACGCACACACACACGCACACGCACATGCAAGAATCATAAACACAGCATCGTACTCACCAGGAAACTGGGCACGGTCGCTCATGTCTGCGCGCGGCAGCAAGGCAGGAATGCCCTTGAACCGGTTCACGGCCTAACTTGCGACAGCGCAAAGAAGTTGGTGAAGAAGAAGCAACTCAAACACACCGGCACACAAGCAGTTCCGCAGGCTGCCAACACAGCGCATGCACACTTGCACAGCACGGCAAAACAAAGCACGAGCCTTGCGTACACCCGTGCAACAGACAAACAAACAAAAAACAAAACACACACACACACACATAAACACATGCATACAGAACATACACACACAAAACATACACACACAAAACATACACACACAAAACACACATACACATATAGCAGAACAGAGCACTTGCCTGGATGGCAGTGCCCGCTTGACGCCATCGTGCTCTGGCAATTGAAGATGGGGTTCGTTGTGGTTTGCGAGCGCCATCCTGCGTCCGTGCTGGCGTTACCCTTGGCTCCCCCTCATCTCTTCCTCTTCGTGCTTGCTCTTGCTCTTGTTGTTGGTGCTCCTGCGCTTGCTGTTGGGCTCGGGTGTCGCTGGAAGCAGCGGCAGCTGTAGCAGTGGAAGCCTCCGGCTGCTGCTGCTGCTGTTCGTGCTGTGCGCTTGCTTCTTCGTCTCGGGTCATCCTTCCTGGTCACCCACTTGCAAGCAAACGGTCGAAAAGTGACGGGCAGCATTGCGAATCGCCCAAATCCAACAACGCCAAAACAGCATCCACCATCGACTGCTCTGCACTGATGTCGAGGGCCAACTCTGCCGGCACACGCCGGGTCGTGAGCTCGCGTGGCAGCAGCGCCACCGCCCGCAGCCAGCCAAACATGATGACCGTTCTCTCAGGAGGCAACGAGTGCGTTTGAATGCATCTGCATACGTCTGCGTGACTCGGGGTTGCCGTCGGAAAGAGTGAGGTTGTGATGGTGTGATGGTGTGGGAGAGTGTGGGAGTGTGATCGCAGTCGCGTCCCCATATTGTGCATGCCTGGCTGAATGTCCACACACACACACACACATACACAAACATACACACACACACAAACACACACACACACACACTGTAGAGGTGGCATGCCACAGGTATCGCATGCACCACCTCGCCCATCGTCTTCACGACCGAGCACCACAGGAACCGGCCGCAGCAGAACCACGGTACTTCCGCACATTTGCGCACTGTTGCGGTAGAAAAGGGCGAGACGCTGGGTGCCGCACACTATTGCGCCCATGCTTCGCCTGCCTCTTTCCCTTTCCTGCCTGATACGCTTCTCACCTCACATGCACACATGATACACACAATTCCCACATGTATGCAGAGGCAGTCCGTGCCGGAGGGTGGCCTGACGCAGTTGTCGGGACCGCCCATGGCTGAACGACAGCCTGAGGCGCAATCCGCCGAAGATCGAGGTGTGCATGCATGTGTGTCTGTGTGTCTGTGTGTTTATGAGTGTGTGTGTGTGTGTGTAGGAGGGGACGGGAATTTAGGAGGCTCAGAAACATATCTGCGCCTGTGCTCGGCACGCTGATGGTCCTGACACTGCATTGCGTTGCTTTGTGTCTGAACAGCTCTGGCTCGTGCCATGGACAAAATACAGCGCCTTGATGTGAAGCTGCACGAAATTCTTGCGCGTGAAAGAGGTGCGCCACCACGCGTGTCTACTCGTGTCGTGTATGTTGACGTCGAATTCATGTGCGCGCGGGACTTGTTTCCATGTGCTTGAGTTGTGTTGCATGGGCATTCCCTTTCATGATGTCACACACATGCACATTCCCACACACATTCACAAGATGTGAAGCGACGCGGCAGAACGGATGGTGATGACAACGATGGCGAAGCGTCTGAGGACGATGGTAGCGACGGTGACGATGGCGGTGTTGGGTTTTTCACAACACAGCCACCAGAGAGCGTTGGGGGCAGCGGAAGTGAGAATGAGGATCATGACGGCAATGATACCGGCGATGCTCCCAAGCAAAAAGGGAAACGGTGCGTGCGTGTGTGCGTGTGCGTGTGTACGTGTGTGTGTGCGTGCGTGTGTGTGTGTGTGTGTGTCTGAGTGTGTGCGTCTGAGTGTGTGTGTGCGTGCGTGCGTGCGTATGTGTGTGTGTGTGTACGTGTGTGTGTACGTGTGTGTGTACGTGTGTGTGTGTGTGTGCGCGCGCGCGTGTGTGTGTGTGTGTGCGTCTGAGTGTGTGTCTGTGTACTTGCTTTGCACCCATGATAAGCTAGGGGAATATGGATGTGCGTGCTTAATCACTCCCAACATGCATGTCGATGATTACGTGATAACAAACAGGAAAGGAAAGCGTGGCGGTGCGGAAGGCAAGGGAGCATCGGGCGACAAATTGAAACAAAAGCAGCAAGACAAGATCCAACGCAACATCAAGGTGGGCCTTTGAAGCAACGAGGCACCCTCAATGCTACTGTTCAAGTTGTGTTTGTGGGTTCCATCATACACTTACGCACAACTACCCACTCCCATGCACACACACACACACACTCTCTCTCTCTCACACACACTCACACATACACTTGCATCGTTCGTGTCACAGCTGGCGGCGGACGGCAAAGCCGGTGTGCTGGCCATGACGCCCGAGGAGAAGGAGCGACTTAACGAATTGCTGGCAGACATTGATTCCATTGACGAGTCTGTTTCAGAACTGGAAGAAACATCCGTGCGCCAGGCGCCCAACCCATACCGGTTGGACGAAGCCGTGCAGCAGCTCGCAGACATTGACAGGTGCGTGTGAATACATGCATATGTGTACCGCGGGAAAGAGTGTGAACTCCGCGCAAGTGCATGTACTACTGCCTGTGTGTGTGTGGGGGGGGGGGCAGGGGATCAATTTGCCTGCTAACATGTCGCCATTCTCGTGACACGGTTGACCTTTATGTGTATGTATGTGTATGTATGTGTGTGTGCGTGTGTGTGTGTGTGTGTGTGTGTGTGTGTGTGTGTGTGTGTGTGTGTGTGTGTGTGTGTGTGTGTGTGTGTGTGTACAGACGACTGGAAGTGATGACACGCGGCCGCCAGAGTATTGCATCCTCCGTGCGGACATCGAATGTACGGCATCACACACACACACACACACACATACACACACACACACACACACACACACACACACACACACACACACACACACACACACTTGTGTCGTCACGGTGCTGAGATTGTGTCACCAGGACAACAATACGTGCTCGTCATCCTCTTTACGCCTTCTTTCTTTGCTGCACAGACTCACACACTCATCTTGTCACATTCACATCAACACACACACACACATGCACGCACGCAACGACAGGTTCCATCTGAGCTTGGGTCTCTCTTTGCCGGACATTCCAAAGTCAAGGAGGCCTTGCGAAATGAAGACGACGAGGTGCGTGTGTATGCATATACGTACGTGAATTCCGGGTTGCACGTGTGCGTGTGCGCGCGCGTGTGTGCGTGTGTGCTCAGCGCTCACGCTTGAACAATATCCATCTCGTGATGCGCACAATTCAATTCTTCAGGCGCGTGCAAGTTTAGCGGCGATTGACAGCGAAATCGAACGGCTTCGACATCTCCCAGCAGAGGTAAGATCGACGCTACACACACACACACACTCTCTCTCTCTCTGTGTCTGTGTGTCTCTCTCTCACTGTCTCTCTCTCACTGTCTCTGTCACACACACACACACACACACACACACACACACACACACACACACACACACACACACACACACACACACACACACACACACGCACAGGGCGAGGCAGTGGATGAGCGCATGCTGGAGATGCTGATGATGGAAGCGCAGGCGGAGCAGGCGTACTATGATCAAGTGGACGCACACGCGCAGCAGCTGGACAACTACAGCAACGCTGGCCCAACTGCCGACAACCACGATGATGAGGATGATGGCAACGCGCCAGCACAATAACGTTGTGGCATGAGCTGTATTGTCTGTGTGTGTGTGTGTGTGTGTTGCGTTTTGTTTTGAACGTGCGGTTTGTCCATGCGTGCACTCGCTTCACTGCACAACGGTGTACATACTTCCTGTTCCTGTACTCGTGTATTCGCGGGGCGCGCTTCAACCAACCTCTCCACTGTAATTCTGACAGCAGGTCTGCCCATTTTCATGACATTCCCGTGTTGTGTTGTTTCGCGCTCGTGTTGTTACTTTGTTTATGTGTGCGTGTGCATATGTTTCTGCTGTGACCCTTGCGAGTGAACCATAATAACAATGGACAAAAGCCACAGCAGCCCCAAACAGGCCGAGAAGTCAACATACTTCGCAATGTCTGCCTCGTCGCTGCTGGCTGCTTGTCTTGGCGGGCTTCATGATACGGGCTGTGGTGCTGTTGCTCAGAGGCCCAGTCGTTTGCGCTCAACCTCTCTTGTCTTTTCTTTCGCGCGCTCTTCCTGCTGTGACCTGCACACAGACGTATTGTGTATGTGTGTGTGTGTGTGTGTGTGTGCATGTGTGTGTGTGTGCATGTGTGTGTGCATGTGTGTGTGTGCATGTGTGTGTGTGTGTGTGAGTCGGCTCAACGAAGTCACCAAGCGACCCGCGAGCGACCTCAAACAAGAACACATGCATGTCACCACACACACACACACACACACACACAACGCACTTTTGGAGTTGCATCTTGAGCCTTAGCTGCATGCGTTCCATGGGCGTCAGCTTCTTCATGTCCACCCTGACGCCATGCAGCACCACAGCAAACACCAGCGAGTGTTTGTCATGACACGAGCAGTTGGGGACTGGAAGGTGTGCCACTTTGAAACTCAACAGGAAACATACACACACACACAGTACACACACACAGTACACTTACTCTGGCAGCTTCTGTTGTGGTGGAGTTGCTGGCGCGGGTGACTTGCCCCGCTGCTTGCGATCATCATGATCGTCACCACCACGTCTAGAACGGTCACGATCACGACGACGGTGCCTGTGATCACGCGCTTCATACCTGCTTGTGCTCCTGCTCCTGCTTGTACCCCTGCTTCGTCGCGATCGCCTGCGTTCGCCTCGCTCGTTCCTCCTGCTGCTTCGCTCTTGCTCCCGCGTACCAGCGTTCCTCCCTCTCCTGTCCACACTTCTCCCATCGCGATCTCCAACTCTTCTCCTCCGCTCCGCACTCCGACTCCTGCTCCTTCGCCGCCCTCCCCTCCTCTCTCGCCCCCTGCTTCGACTTCGACTGCGGCTGCAACTGCGACGACCACTCCGCACGCGATCATCATCACTGCCGCGCCTGCTGCCTCGCCGCTTCTCGCTGTCTCTGCGCGTTCGTTCGTTACGTGTCCTCTTTTTCCTTCGCACTCCCTTCTTGCTACTGCTGGTGCTGCCCCGCGTTGGCGACGCCGATGCCGAAGAAACATCAGAAGATGACGACGACGATGATGACTGACGTGACGGAGACGGTGATGGTGAAGAGTCATCAGAGCGCAGCACGCGCCGCGCGAGTGACGATGACGTGACGTCACGATCGGGCGTTACGCGCGCCCGCCACGACGGCTCATGCTGGCCCTTCGCCTTGCTGGTGGTGAGGGTGGTGGTGTGAGGGGTGTTGGAGGCATTGGCGGTGGTACCTCCAGCTGTTGCCACAATTGTGGCTGCTGCTGATGGGTGGAATGCAGCAGCGTATGTGCTGTCGTTCCTCTGTTCGATGGCAGTGAGGCCACCAACATCGCTGTTGTCGCCAGATCCATCCGAGTCACCCATCGTGAACGATGTGATGTAAACGGCCTTGCCCTCCGGCGTCTTGCTCCGCCTGCCTCCACGCGTCCGCGCTGCTCTTCCGCCCCGTCGCCGCCCACCGCGGTCACGATCGCGTCGTCGCTCCCGCGCACCGTATCCGCCGTTGTCATCGTCATCACTACGGACAGACGGCAGTCGCTTGTCAGCGCTGTCGTCGTCGTTGTCTTTGTCCAGTGGAATGGCAAACGCAGGCAGCTTGTTTGGTGGCCTCCTTCCTCGCTCGCTTCGCCTCCCGCCCCTTCTATCTCTGCTGCGCTCCTTGCTATCATGCCTGCGCCTGCTGCTTCCCGAACGTCGCCTGCCACCATACCGACCACCATCGCCATCATCGCCATCATCGCCATCATCGCCGCCACCACCACGTCTCCGACGTCGTCCCCTCCAGTCCGGTGAACGCGACCGAGACGGCCGTTCTCCACGTGCACGTGTGCACGGGTCTCTACCACGGTTGCCACCGCCACCGCCATCACCACCACCATCGTCACCTCCCTGCGTTCCTGCAGATGTTGTTGTTGTTGTTGCTGCTGTGTCTGTGTGCACGGCCGAGTGGTTCTTGAAGCGCCGGAGCTGGTACTGTTTTTGGTCGCGCAGCGCTTTCTCCCGCTGCCGCGTCAGCTCTCTGCAACCAGGGGGGGGCATGGTGAGGGTGGGCATGCGTCAGTGAGTGAGTGAGTGTGTGTGTGTGTGTGTGTGTGTGTGTGTGTGTGTGTGTGTGTGTGTGTGTGTGTGTGTGTGTGTGTGCGTGTGTGTGTGTGTGCGAGTAGTTGAGGCAGCTGGTGTGAGAGAGCACACGCTTGCTGTTGAGTGAGTGCAGATGCGCACACACAAAACATCCAACGCTGTGGTGTCAAAACAACAGCAGCACGTGTCTATGCAAGGCGCAGAACAGCACCTGCTGCGTTCGAGGAATGTGCAAAAGTACGAAATGTCGTATTGGTGCCGTGCAATGCTGTCAATGTCTGCACGATCACGCGAATCAAGCCGCGACAGCTGACGGGCGCACACGTGTGAAGAACAAGGGATGGGGAGGAGCAGGTGGTGCGGTATCGTGTTTGAGTATGGGTTGCACACATGCATGTGGAACAGCGAATGCGCAAATACCCCCACGCACAAACACAGTCACGTCACACACACACACACACACACACACACACACACACACACACACAGTCATACACACACACACACAAACACACAGTCATACAAACACGTACACACGCACACACACATTGCCAAAGCTCACCTCTTGTTCAAGGTCGCGGAGAAGTAGCTTGTGTGCATGCGTGTCATCAATGCCATTCCCGTCATTGTCCTCGTCGTCATCGCTTGCATCGCACATCGCATCCACAGCATTGTCGCCGGCAGGGTGGGTGCTGCCAGCACTGGCGTTCTTGGCGCTGTCAGCTGCAGCGCCGCTGCTTCCCTGCGCCGTGTGCGCTGTGTCTACGACAGCTGCCGAGGCATTGCCACCATAGTCAAAGCCAATGGCAGCAGTGTTGTTTGAGGAGGTTTCTGCTGGTTTCGGTGCGGGCGGTCCTTTGCGCGCAGACAGCTGACACAAGGCACACATATGTTGCCGTGAGTTGTCGTTGGCAGCAATACAAGTATTGAAGAAGCGCAATATGGATAGTGCACGAGAGATAGGCAGACAAGAAAGGCGAGAGAGGGGGATGAATACGGCCAAATGCACACACACACATACACATTCATATACAAATCCACATACACATACATATCCACAAACACACACATACACACATACACACATGCTGCTAACCTGTGGGGAGAATGGATTGCTTGAATCGTCAAGGGCATCGATGAGCCGCAGGTGCTCTGTCTCGGATATACGCTTGAACGCCGTATGCACCAGGTCACGGTACGCCTCGAAGCGGCGCTCAAAGTACTTGCTGCCATGCTGCATGCGCTCGTCGGGCTCGCTGGCGTGCATGGAGCTGGGCTGCGAGCTCACTGTGATGCCAGCGTCGACGTTGGACTCGAGGTCGTGCGCTTCCGCATCCATGAGGTCCATCGCGTCCATGGACGCACGCACGTCGAATCGGTCAATAAGGTGGTCCATGTGGTTCTGCCACGGAACGAGCGTGGCCCGCCCCATGTTGGCGCGCGCCTCACTCTCCGATACAAAGTGAACGTGACATGGCACCCCCTGAAGCCGCAGCAGCTGCAACGGATCCACTTGCTGTTCAGATCAACAAGGGGGGGGGACGGGCGTGTTGAGTGCTGCATAAAAGTGCATATCACACAGACACACATACGAACATGCGCACACGTGTGGACACGAACTTACGCGTATACATACACATACAAACACGCATATATGCAAGTGTACATGCATCCCAGCAGACACACACACACGCGCGAGCACATACACGCACACACAAGCACACATACACATGCATATACGCACACGCGCACACGCACACGCGCGCACCCCACCAACACAACAACCCACAAACTACAGTGCAACCTGCTGGATGGCCTCTGCTTGTCGTTGCTGTGAGCGCTTGCGTGTGGCAGCGACCAGCTCCTTCAAGTGCCGATCATGCTTGCGCGCAGCGTGCCACATCGTCCTCCTCACTGCGCTCAGCGTCTTCCGTCTTTCTTGGCGTGGTTGTAGAAAAGTTGTGCTTGACTTCCGTGAATTTTCCACGCTGCGCTGTTCTCTGGTGGTGTGGAGGAGTGGTTGATTGAGGTTGTGCATGGTGGCTGGTTGGATGACGATGGCACGACGCCACCACCAACAACAGCAGCCGCCAGGCCAACAACAAAAGCCATCTTCACACAGACAATGCAGCATCATGTGCTGTTCTTTACAGCTGTTTTCATCATGGCTTTTGGTTCGTGTATTTGCTCGCTAGCTTGTTTGTTGGCATGCTCGTGTGCAACTGTTATTGTTTATGCCTGATTCTCGAAGGTTGTGCATTGCACTGCCGCGCATGCTCACCGTGGTTCCATGGGACGCAATTAACTGTGACAGATTCTGGTCTTGCTGTTGGCTCAAGTGCCTCTTGGACACACTCAACAAGAACCAGCCTTCAGAGGCCGAGGTGTGACCCTTTGTATTGCGTACATCGTGTGGGTTGTGTGGGTTGTGTGCTTGTGCGGTGTGTACATCGTGTGCGTTGTGCGCGTTGTGTGGGTTGTGTGCTGTGCTTCACAATCCCACATCAAATCTGACTTGCCTAAACCATCTCCCTGGCTTTGTCGCTTGATGCCAACCGCAGCAGGTCCTCGGCCGCTGCAATCAATGCCGTCATGGCGGCAATTTCACGCTTTGCCGTTTGCACAGCTTCCACATCACGTCGTCGATGACTGGCAACAACGTGTCTTGCAAATACCCCAGCAAGGTTCCCAAGCACTGGCTTGTTTGTTGACTTGCTTGCTTGTCCATCCATCTGTGGCATCTACCTCCTCACCCTGTATGCCTCTTGTTTGTCCTGCATGCCTCCTGTTTGTCCTGCATGCCTCCTGTTTGTCTTGTGTGCCTCTTGTTGAAGTTGAATGCTTGCACTCCTTCACGCTTTCCCCTCCTCACTCCCTCATTACTGTATCTGTATCATGGTGGCATCAGGCCCACAACTGGATGTACAAGGCGCATTGACACACCTGACCGCTGCCATGAACGCGTCGCAAGCGCCTCTTACGCCCGAAGCCGTTATGACAGCATATTGCATCCTGCTGACGCCAACAACAACAACAACAACAACAACAACAACAGCAGCAGCAGCAGCAGCAGCAGCAGCCAGTCCGAAGCTCCGTGACTTTGACGTGTATGTACGAGGCCGAAGGCTGACTGCGCCCAGTGAGCTGCTGCCACGCTTCCAGCTCCTCTTGAACGACACCTTCTCTCGCATTCACACGGCCACGACGCAACACCTGTCGCACCTGCATGCGCACACGGCAATCGTCACGGCTGCGGCGGATATGCTGTTTGACGTAACCCTCCGCCTGCGGCCATTCGTCCAGCACAACGACGTTATGGCGTGCGTGCTTGTCAACGCGTTTCTGCAGCAAGGCGGTGTCGCCCTGCCTGTCGTCTACACCAGCAGTGACTCGCTCCATCGGCGCATTGATGAGGCCGTGCACCGCGGGCCCCCGCACGTGCCGGGAGCATTGGCCAAGGCCCTCTTGTCGTCTTACTGCGACATGTTGCAGCGTGATGACCGTGGCCTCGTGCCTGCAGGCATTGTCGCTTCCATCGCTGCCACGGGCAACATCTCTGCTGCTGACATTGACACGTTTTCTCGAAGTGTCTGCAGTTACTATGTGCAGAAGAGCATCGACCATGGCAATGCTGCAGGCGATGCTGCTGTTGCGCCAGCTCCACCCGGGGTGCAGACACCATCTTCCCGGCACCACGGTCGCCGCCGCCTCCTGCATCAACAACAACAACAACAACAACAACAACAACAACAACAACAACAACAACAACAACAACAACAACAACAACAAGTGGTGCATGCTTTGCAGCGGCGAAGCAATCCGCCTGCGCCGGTCGCGGAATCCACGTCCGCATTCATCAACGACTACGACCAACCTGGCGAACTGACATGCGGGCGCGACTACATCCTCACCCACGCAGACAGCACGTACGACAACGCCCACGCTGATCGGCGGTGGCGGTTCACGTGCCAGCCAAGTCGCACCTACCACAGCTATGAGACGGGGTTTGTCAACACACACCAGCAGACCGTGACGTTTCTGTGCCCGGACAACTATGCCATCGCGGGGGTGTACAGCGAGCACGACAACGTGGCAAAGGACAGGCGGTGGCGGTTCCGCTGCAGCCAGATCCTTTCAACCACAGCATCCCAGGGCGCATGCACGTTCTCTGCGCCCTCTACGCTTGGTGGTTCACAATCATTCACCACCCCCACAGGCACGTTTATTCGCGGCGTGTACACCACATACTCCACCAGCGCCCACGACCGGCGCTACTCGTTCTACTACTGCCAGCTCAACTGCGGCAACAACGCGCTTCAGACGCAGTACGCGTGCCAGTGCAAGGACGGGTACACGTTCCAGGGCGGCAGCTGCGTGCGCGGCACCAAAGGCAGCACGGGCCCGCAAGGCGACAAGGGCCCAACGGGGGATGCGGGTGCACAGGGGCCACAGGGGCCACAAGGGCTGCCTGGGGTGGACGGCGATGACGGTGCACCCGGACCGCAGGGCGACAAAGGCGACGTGGGCGAGCAAGGCGCACCTGGTGCAAAGGGGGAGGTGGGCGCACCAGGACCGCAGGGGCCACAGGGCGAACAGGGACCACAGGGGGCACAGGGGGTTGCAGGCGACCCAGGGCCGCAGGGCCCCAAGGGCGATCAAGGCGTGCAGGGCGACCAGGGCCCCGCTGGTGCACCCGGACCCCAGGGGCCTCAGGGGATCAAGGGTGAGCAGGGGGATCAAGGGCCACAGGGAGAACAGGGGCCACAGGGCGCCCAGGGCGACCAAGGCGACGTCGGACCACAGGGGCCGCAGGGTGAACCAGGTGTGTGCTTGTGTGTGTGTGTGTGTCAGGTGTGTGTGTATGTGTGTGCTTGTGTGTGTGTGTGTATGTCAGGTGTGTGTTTGTGTGTGTGATTGTGTGATTGACACGTCCACCGCGCATTTTCCTTCATGTGCACATGAGTATGTGTGATACACATGCCATCACTGCTGCTGTCCTTCATGGCTCCATATTCACAACAACGATCACAACGCGGCTTGTTTGACAGGCGATCCTGGTCCCCAAGGGCCGCAGGGGCCGCAGGGGCCTCAAGGCCCACAGGGCGAACAGGGGCCACAGGGCGACCCAGGACCACAGGGAATTCAAGGTACCATGCGCAGAGAGTGTGTGCATGTGTGTGTGTGTGTGCGTGAATGAGAGATACGCACACACGTATCGCACTTACACACACATGGTCGCATCCACACCAAAACAACCTTCATCATCGTGGTCAGGACAATTGCTTCCATCTCACATTTCCACACACACACACTCTCTCACACTCACACACACACACACATACACACAAACACACACATACACACAAACACATACGTATACGTCCACGCTGCACTGTGCCAGGTCCTGTGGGCGATCCTGGGCCGCAAGGAGTGCAAGGGCCACAGGGCATCAAGGGCGAAACCGGCAACAAAGGAGTACAGGGTCCACAAGGACCCAAAGGCGATCCAGGCCACGATGTGCCGCTCTCTGTGCAGTCTGCACTGTCGTCATCCGTCTCATCCATGCTCAGCAACGGCACAGCACAGTACGCGGCGGTGTCGACAGCGCTTGCAGCGGCGGCAGCCGAGGCACGGTCGCGCGAGGTGCAAGTGTACAACATCATCCTCGACAGCGGTGACGATGCGCGCTCTGTGGAGAGCGACATCAGTGCAGCCATCATCACACTCAAACTCGCCGTCAACAGCGAGAGGACACGCGAATCACAGGCCATCGCCGCCATCAACCAGGACGCGGCTGCCGTCAGCAGTGCTGTGGACACCGAGGGCAACGTGCTACAGTCAGACGTCAGCCACGCCACATCTCGCGCCACATCGGCCGAGGACAGCGTGGCCAGTGCCATTGCCTCCACCAGCCAGCGGTCCCAGGATATGGAAGCATCGCTTGCATCGCGCGTGTCTGGCGTGGCCCGTGATGACTCATCAGCAGCCAGCCGCGCCGCCGCCGCCTCTTCCTCGCTCGCACGCGCCATCTCGCACGAGACGGACCGGGCCACGGGGCAGGAGGCAAGCCTGATATCCGCCCTGCAGAGCACGGAAACATCCACCATGCAAGATGAGGCAGGTCTCAGTGCGAGCGTGAGCCTTGAGGGGCAGCGCGCCGCATCAGAGCGATCACGCATTTCCGGCGCCGTGTCTACGCACGACGACGCCGTGGCGACACACGCCAGCCGTGCTGCTGCCCAGCTCAGCCAGCTCGACGCCAGCATCGCCGGCGAGCACACGCGCGCGAGCACTGCAGAGTCCAATCTCTCTGCCGCGTTGTCCGGTGGCGTGTCAGGGGCGACGTCGTCTGAACACGCCCTCAGCGTCGCCATCAGCAGGGAGCAGTCGCGTGCAGCAGCGCAGCAGGGGCAGCTGGATACCGCGCTGGGTGCGGAGCGCAATCGCACGCGGGCACAGGTGTCGTCCATCGTGTCTGCCGTGTCCAGTGAAGTGCAGCGCAGCGCAGACGCATTGACGCAGCGCGCTGTGTCCATCAACACGGAGGCCGCCCGCGCATCAACCGCCCGTCAACAGTACGGCACGCTGCTGGATGCCGAGGTGTCGCGCGCACGGCAGGAGGAGGCCGTGTTGGCGCAAACGCTGTCTGCTGTGACGACGAACCACAGCGAGCACACGCTTGAGGTGAGCCAGGCCATTTCTTCGGAGAGTGCACGGGGTGGACAGGAAGCGGCGGCCATCGCAAGTGCCATCAGCAACACGCTCACGGACACGCGCCAACAACAAGTGCAACGCCTGGAAAGTGACATTGTGTCGCACGCAACCGTCATGCAAGAACGCGTCAGCTCCGCCACTGTCTCTCTGCAGGCGGAGACCAACCGTGCCGAGTCAGTGGAAAGTGCGCTGTCGAGTGAGCTGAGTGAGGAGACAACACGAGGCCGCGGTGTCCACTCCATCCTCACTTCCTCGCTGCAGTCTGAAGAGACAAGGGCGCAGTCGGATGAAGCAGTGCTGTCACAGCGTGTCTCGCTTGCAGTGTCCTCGTCCCAGTCAGACGAGGCGGCAATTGCGTCGCAGCTGTTGAGTGTGGACGCATCTGTCACGCGTGACCAATCAGCGCTTGCGTCCTCCCTGACGAGCCATGCCTCAAACACCCGCACAGCTGAAGCACAAGTGCTGTCGCTGCTGTCGGACATGCACGTGCGCGCCTCCCAGGCGGAATCCACGCTTCAGATCAGCTTGGTGTCTGCACAGCAAGCAGCGCAGTCGAGCGAAAGCAGCCTGAGCGCGGCCATTTCTCTGCGGGAAAGCACGCGTGCAGCATCACAGCGCTCCATGCTGTCTGTGCAAGCCAGCCTGGCATCGTCGGCAACGGCCCAGCAGCAGGCGGTGCGCAGTCGCGTGTCTGCGGTTGAGAGCAGCGCGCGTGAGCACCGGCAGTCTGTGGCGTCGCTGCTGTCGCACGTGGTATCGAGCACGGCCTCGGGTGTGGATTCGCTCCACGGAATGCTGGCTACGCAGACCAGCAATGCCATTGCAGCAGAAGGAAGCCTGCTGTCCATGATTGGCGAGACCGCATCTGTGGCGCAAGCAGGAGAGTCTTCCCTTGCTGCCGCCATCGTGGGTGCGCAGAGCACGCTGGAGGCTGATGACGATGAGCTGCTGTCTACGCTTCAGGTGCAAACGCAGCAGCAAGTGTCGGCGGATACGTCACTGGCCAGCGACGTGGAGGCCGCCAACACCACCCTCATTGGCAGCGACATGGCATTCGTGTCCATGCTCAAGCAGTCGCACGCTGCCCTCACCATGCAGCTGGAGGAGGAGAAGAACATGACCGCCGCAACAGAAACAGCGCTCTCGTCACAGCTCTCCACGCTTGAGCAGTCGCTGCAAGGGCCTGTCGTCGTTACCGACTTTGCACCCTACAATGACGCGTGTGCCGTCACCACATTCCCTCCAAACATCACAGTTGCACCTCCCAGTACGATCAGCAGCAACAGCAGCAACAGCAGCACCACGAGTCGCAGCAAATTTGGAACCACTGCCACTATGAGCAACAGCGATGTCGACAGTAGGCAAGTTGCAAACAGCAGCACCACCGGAAGCAGCAGCAGCGTGACAAACATGACAACGGCACCGACCACTGCTACCACCATCAGCACTGCCACCACTACGATGATGCCCGAGGCGGCTCCGTCTGCGCTTGTGGTGTCGTCATGCTTGCTTGTGGAGTTCACGGCATGCAGTGAGCGCTTGATTAGCGAACCCACGCTGGCGCACAAGGCGCGTGCGTTTATGGATGACCCGGGTGCGTTTCATGTGGCCGTGGTTTCCACACAGGAGGAGGTGGCGGGCTGGCTGCGCGCAGACAACGACAGCTGGATTGTCAGCACAGACGATGTGCGCGTGCTCTCCACCACCTTTCGCGTGCACGCCGCGCAACCACGGTCATGCGTGCTTGCAAGCAGCAGCATTGCCGTGACCTCGATTGTCACCCCTGTGCCTGTTCCCCAGAACACTTTCACAACCAGCAGCATGGCAAACACCACCACCACCACCACCACCACCACGCCCTTTGCCACCAACAGCACATCAGTGCCAACGACAACAGCGCCGCCGAGCGAACCACAACGGAGACGACGAGAACAACAACAACAGCAAGGGAACGATACAGAGCCCAATACCGCCACCACACCCATGCTCAGCATCGCTATAAACGGCAGCCACAGCAACAGCACAGCGGTGGACTTGCTGCGTGTGTCAGACGTTGCAGGCCTGCTCGTGGCGGTGCACGTGGCCGGGCGGGACAGCAACACTGCGCCTCCCCTGTCGTCACCGCCACTGGGGCTTGCGGATGGCAGTGCTGGTGGCACGCCCACGCTCGTGCGAAGGCTGGCTGTGTTGGAAGAGCAGCTCTCGGCGGCAGCGGCGACCAACACGCTGTTGATGTCGGCCATCAGCGCCGCGGAGACGCAAATGGAGACTGCCCTGGCCCAGGCCGACGGCTTGGAGGAAGAGCTTGCGGCGCGGTGGGAGGAGCTTGCTGCTGCACGCGCATCGAGGGAGGCATCGCGCGAAGCAAGCAGGGAAGAGGAACAGCGCAGACGCGAGCAGTCGACGACAACCACCACGCCTGCCACAACCACGCCTGCTGCCACGACGAGCGGGGCGGGCGGTGACGCCAGTCGACGCGGGGCCGCTGCCGGCGAAACGCCGCTCATGTGGATTGTCATGACCGTGGCCACCTCCATCCTGGTGCTGGTGCTGCTGGTGCTTGTGCTCACCACGTCAAACAGCAGCGTGGTGGTGGTTGACACGGGTGGGCCATCGCACGACGTGTTCCACCTGCTGCGTCAGCCGAGCAAGGTGCCCGAAGACATGACCGAGCAAGTGCTGGTGGGCAGTGGAGGTGTTGCCTACCTGGGCACTGCCGACCCACACACGGATGCGGTGTACGCGACCATGGATGACATTGACGAGTCTGTGTTTGCGGCCAAGGGCGCAGAGAGCAGCGAGGACGACGACGACGCTGTCAACGGCTACCTCGATCTTGACGTGTATGAGAATGGTGAGGAGTACCTCCGCACGGGCCCGGGTGCCGTGGCGGCGGTTGGAGATGTTGGTCTGCAGTTCACGGGCACTGATCATCGACACCACCACCACACGGCCACGACCAACTACAGTTCGAGCGATGAAGACGTGTTCACGGACGACGAGTATGTTGAGGGCGAGAATGATGATGGCGGGTACCTGGACGTGAGCCCCGATGACATTTACGAAGGACCCGAGATTGGCACGCAGTTTGTGTGGCGGGAGAACGACTTGAAGGAGTTGTCTGTAGCGATGGACGAGGAAGGGCAAGGCGCTGCAGAGCATACGGCCAATGGTGGCGGTGACGATGGACTCGGTAATGCTGGGAATGTCCGTGCTGAGGGTGGCGTTGGCGGTGCGGTGAAGCCAGCTGGAGGCAACGAATACTCGCGGCTGCCGAGCGCGGCGCCCGTGGTGATTGCTCGTGAAGGGAAGTCGGGCTACAACAAACTGCACCAGAACACACCTGCAGCACAAGGCGGTAGCACCAGCGCCAGCAGCACCTCAGCCGGTGACCACAAGTATGCCAAGCCCAAGGATCCCAAGTACGACAAGGCAAAGGGAGGCAAGGGTGCGAAGACCACAGCCGCAAGCGGTGATGGTGAGCACAAGTATGCCAAGCCCAAGGATCCCAAGTACGACAAGGCAAAGGGAGGCAAGGGTGCGAAGACCACAGCCGCAAGCGGTGATGGTGAGCACAAGTACGCCAAGCCCAAGGATCCCAAGTACGACAAGGCAAAGGGAGGCAAGGGTGCGAAGACCACAGCCGCAAGCGGTGATGGTGAGCACAAGTACGCCAAGCCCAAGGATCCCAAGTACGACAAGGCAAAGGGAGGCAAGGGTGCGAAGACCACAGCCGCAAGCGGTGATGGTGAGCACAAGTACGCCAAGCCCAAGGATCCCAAGTACGACAAGGCAAAGGGAGGCAAGGGTGCGAAGACCACAGCCGCAAGCGGTGATGGTGAGCACAAGTATGCCAAGCCCAAGGATCCCAAGTACGACAAGGCAAAGGGAGGCAAGGGTGCGAAGACCACAGCCGCAAGCGGTGATGGTGAGCACAAGTACGCCAAGCCCAAGGATCCCAAGTACGACAAGGCAAAGGGAGGCAAGGGTGCGAAGACCACAGCCGCAAGTGGTGATGGTGAGCACAAGTACGCCAAGCCCAAGGATCCCAAGTACGACAAGGCAAAGGGAGGCAAGGGTGCGAAGACCACAGCCGCAAGTGGTGATGGTGAGCACAAGTATGCCAAGCCCAAGGATCCCAAGTACGACAAGGCAAAGAGCAGAGCGGCGAGTACAGCGAGTTCCGTCCATGGCAAGCGCACCAACGCCCGCATGGCAGACCCCGTTTATGCTGACGTGGACTGGAGCGATGATGACTATGAGTTTGGATTTTGACGACGACGACGATGACGGGCACGTTAATCGCCGCCCAGCGCAGGACCCGTGTACTCCGAAGGCGCCGTGTACGAGGATGTGGACGATGGAGACGCCGTGTACGCGCTCCCCACAGACTTTGCGTGATCTTCGGGGCTGCGCGTGTGCGTGTGTAGACGTGAGAGAGTGTGTGTGAAATGTGAGGGTGTGTATATGTGTGTGTGTGTGTGAAATGTGTGTGTGTGTGTGTATATGTGTGTGTGTGTGAAATGTGTGTGTGTGTGTGTGTGTGTGTGTGAGAGAGGGTGCGTGTGTGTGTGTGTGTGTGTGTGTGTGTGTGTGGAACTGTGAGTGTGTTGGACGTGAGTGGCTGTCGTTGTGTTGGCGGTTACTGGTATTACAGTTAATTGATATGGTTTCGTTTCAGGTGCTTTAATTTTTCTTGCCTTGCTATTTGACACCCCCATGTCTTGTTGT